GTTCAGCGTCAGGGATCTTCTATGAAAGGGAGTCGCCGTCTCTTGCAAAAGAGCCTGCGTCTAGGCATACTCCAAAACATACTCAGGAATGCGATTGTCACTAATGTGCTCCCAGCCAGAGATGGTTTCAGGGAGAGGGCGCATCTCTTTTAGTGATATTCTCTCTGTGTGTATGTGTGTGAAATCGTGGTAGTTTTGGATGAGTTGTGCCAGAGTTAAAGGGTGAGATTTTGTGCATGTACCCAAAAATCTATATAGGACTTGTGCAAGTGGCCTTATGACAGCATTTTTTTTTTTGGGGGGGGAACACCTACTAATCTTTTTTCTTGTCCAGATGTAGGATATCCACATGTTCCTTTTAATTCCCCTCCCCCCTTTCATGTTGCTTTGGGCTCTGCAGCAGGCATAATCAGCTGCTGAGCTTCTACAGTGGTAACTATGGTACCCGTTCCATATTCCTTTATAAGTCTCATTGAGTTCAATAGAGCTTATGGCAAAGACTCTTTAGTCTCATGTAGGAAAAGTCTAATTGAAAACAATGGCCCATCACAATGTGTGTTTGTGCTGTGGAAGTAAGAAACATCATTTGTAGCTGGGTGGTCTGAATGTAAAGGGAGGCTTTTCTTGGTAGGGAAACCATGTGTTTAGTGCTTGCTTGGTGGATAGTGGGGAAGGCTGATGATCAGAAGAAATCAAATGAAAAAAATTATGCCAATAAAGATACTGAACTGAAATAAACTGAAAACAAAAACCCAGTGGCACCTTGAAGACTAACAAAATTTTATTCCCTCATAAGCTTTTCCGAGTCAGAGCTCTTTAATTGGACACATAGAGCGTTCACCGATATGAGATTTATTTGTACTTTAAAGTTTCACTAAACAGAAAAGCTTGAATGGGGGAAAGTTACAAAGAGAGGCCAGTTTGAAACAATGATCACTCTAAGAGAAATCAATCCATACCAGTGGGTGAAGACCACTTCTAACGGTAGAAGATGGGCAGACTAGGATAAACATAAAATCTAACCAAGGGAGGTGCAGGACAAGAACTATAAACAGACCTGATTAACATCTGTGGGTGGGTCATGTTGAGCTATTAACACCTATAGTGAGTGAGGAAACCCAAGGATATTCAAGCCTGGGGATAACATAGTATCTCTTGATGAATCCTGTTTCAGCATTTTCACATTGTGTTCTCCCTTTGAATTTTTTTGAGTTTGTTTATAGAAGAAAAGAAACCTGTTTCTGAACAGAAACTGATTTCGTTAGTGTTTAAGGTGCCACTGGAGTTCAGTTTTATTTTGCTGTAGCATTACCACTCCTCTGGAATTATTATCAGTAGAATCAACTCACAGTTGATTGAAGAGATGTTGCTGTGCTTGACATATATGCAAAATATTCTTGTAAACTTGGCAAGTTTACTTTGAGAGAGAGAAAACAACTGGGCCTGAAGTGAGTTTTCTATTTGATTATGGTGTTTACTCTAATAATTATGATTGGTTGTGATTATGACCTTGATTTTGTAATTATGCTAGGGTTATTTTGTTTCCCCTTTGACATAAGTTAACAAGATCATAGGAATAACTTGTTTCTTTATCCAGTGTGGTATATTGTCTAGAGCATCAGACTACGATCTGAGAGACCCAGGTTCAAATACCACTCTGCTGTAAAAGTTTGCTTGGTGATCTTAGATCAGTCACCCACTCTTAGCCTAACCTACCTCACAGGGTTGTTGTGAGGGAAAAATGGAGGAGAGGGAAACAGTGTCAGCCACTTTGAGTCCCCATTGGGGAGAAAGTCTGGGTGTAAATTAAGTGAACACATAAAAATTCCACTGAGGCGACTCATGGCACTGTTTTGATTTGCACTGATATTGCTGCATCAATCTCTATATCATACTGAATTAAGGCTGAGGCTATATATACACAGGGCAGATAACAGTAGTCTGAAACCCGTGAATCCTATGATTCTATTGAAGTCTGTGTGGTTTTGTGCAAGATAAGGAAGTCTCAAAGATGGATGCATAAAATTTCATGTCCACTGTGTATTTTAATAACTGATTTATACAGTCTCTTTCTGTCACTCTTCATTTACCCCTCTGAAAGAATGGGTTGTTTTGCCTTGCACAGAGTCCTGGGAGACACTCCATGAATCCTTTGTGGTGTTTACTAAAACAAGCAGTTATTTTTTCCCCTCTTTTAGAATCATTTTTTTAAAGCTGTTTGTCAAACTTCTCTGTGCACCATTCTCTTATCTTGAACACAGCCAATGTTTTGTTTGAATTGCCAGATGTCTTTGGCCAATGCAAATCCTTAATTGTGTAAATGTTGGCATCTAAACAAGACAGAAGCAAGGGATGGCTCTCTGAGCCAACACTGTGGGTGTCTCTGAATGGTAAAGCCAATTAAAGGTTGATTTGTAGATTCAGAAAGCACACACTAAACTGTGCTTTGCTGTGTGCTTGAAATATCAGATGGAAAATTTGGAGAGTACTCTGTATCTTGATAGGTTGAGTCTGGAAAAGCTGATTATAATTTTGTTGAGAAAAGACAGAACATCGTAAACAGCTGTTTGCATATATGTTGTGTATAGCTGTGTACATTGCATGATCACATTAACCTGGGTGAAAGAAAAGCTGTTTCTGTCTTGTTCACTTCTCAGTCAGGCACTGATGATGTTTTCAACCAGGCACAAAGATGTTCTCTTCCATCCTATGGAAAAAGCTGCATGGTGCTCAGTTTGTGAAAGGAGCAAACACATGTTTTATTTATAGCTGTTGCCCATGTATCGACTTGTATTTCGAAGGCTGTGTTTTCAATTGGGCTTTCTCCTATTGATTAAGGAATCGGGGTAAGAAGAAGAAGAAGAAGAATGTGCCATTGAGTAGCAGTTGACTCGCAGTGACCCCCCCCCCTCCATGGAGCTTTCTAGGCAAGAAATGAGAAGCGGTGGTTTGCCATTGATTTTGCCTGCACAGCAGCCCTAGTCTCCCTTGATGGTCTCCCGTCCAAGTACTACCTGCTTAGCTGCCAGACTCTGAGGAGCCTGGGCTAAGCTGGGCTATTTGGGCAGCAGCTTAATGGGGTAAAGGTAGGATAAAAAGTTTGTGAATCCATTTTCTTGTTTTACAGGGCTGGCAGATTTCACAGATGTTTGGATATGCGCTGTTAGGACAGTCGATACTTCTAGGTTAACTAGTTGCATTGCCAAGTTTTCAGCAATAAGGATGCAAATTAGCACTGCTGCGATTGTTACTTCAAGCTTGTTCAGTTCCCAGGGAAATTGCTTCCACACTACTGCAGAAGTGTTTCCGTGCCCTGCAAAGAGTTGTTGCTGTGAACTGAAAGAGTTACAGTGTTCTGGGATTCCTCATACGAACAATATATGTCATATTTTTGGAATCCTTGGAATTTGAGTGGATTTGAGAGAAATTGATATTTTGCAGAAGGATCTTGAAGCTACCAGCAAGAGTGTCGGAGAAATGTTGCTCATGGGTCTGGTTCTAGTAGACTTCTTCAGTGGCAAAAGAACTCATTGTACAAAGTATCCATTGTACACAAGCAGTTAATGGCACAAGTGTGTATGTGTGTATGTGGATCGCAAGGAGAGCAATAAAATGAGAGCTCAGAGGAAAATTTACTACTTGTGCATGAACACCATTTCCATTGTATCCAAGACAAATGCCCCCAGTGAACAAGATGGGTATGCTATCAATGCTTGTGGTGAGCTGTGTGTAGTTTCTACAGTTTGCCTTCTTAATTATGCTTTCCATGGAGATAGTGCCTGAACCGATCCATGGTGGAAAACACATAGTGGAAAACATGGTGAGAATGGAAGAAGGCACATGCATAGCATAGGGAAATCGCTGGAATACCATAAGAAACCAGTTCTTCTAAGCTTGTAAGTAGTACTTACCCACTTGCTTGAGGTGTTTAAGAATTAATGTGCATAAGGTAGTGTGATTAAAAAGTAGGGGTTCTTTCTTTTTCCTTTCAGGCAACAAATGAATTACACAGGTCTGTGTGGGCAGTCAGGTTTGTAATTTTGTGAGTTAGTACATTTTGTGGACTTTTTGTTTTTTAATAGGGTTGACACATGTTCTATGTGTCACACTCCAGTGATAAAGGGAACAATTGTGGGAGAAACTAGGTAGAAAAGGAGACTGTCTTGGGGCTGCATGGCTCCTAGTGAGTTGGGGGGGGGAGAAACAGGCTGAAATTTGAGATCGATTAAGATGGGGAAGAGAGTTTGCCCTTCTGTTCCATAAACTTGGGTCCCTGGGTTAGGAGATAGGTGTCGTCTCTATTACAATGGGGTTCCTTTACCCTAATATGAGACAACAGAGAGAATAATGGTTATGAGAATCTTGGGGACCTTGTAGCAGTCAGGGCAAATTGCACCCTGCACTAACAGGGACACCACAGGAATAAGAATGTGCCCTGTGTGTCTGTACGCAAAGTTGTATTGCACCCACATGGTATCTGCAGTATATGGATGGTCTCTCCACTTCTTAATCTTCATAGTGGCCTTTTACAGTTCATAGCATAAATACAAAAATGGTCACAGTAGCACCAAACAGGGCCAGCTGCTTTTTAGCATTCCACAGTCCATTGTGGGTGTTAAAACCACACAACAGCAATTATTTTTATTTATTTATATACAGGACAAAAATAAGCTGTGTTTAGGGAGCAGGAAGCTCAAATCATTTGTATTCCAGTTGCATGTTGATGTTTTGAAACACTGCCAAAAGCTTGAGCTCACTGCTTACTGTATTTCTATCAAGAACAATTAGCTC